TGTGATAGTTTTAAAACAAACTTAAGGGTATATACTAACTTTCAATGTAATGTATCTTCTTTTTCAAAAGAGTTTCACATTAAACCTTTAATTTATCTTTAATGATGATCTGGACTTGTTTGATTGATGGCATGTTTGTTTTACTTACAAACCTTATTTCTTGTTAATACACTGTACTATTTTCTGAAAAAGAGAATTTTGTATTTATGTAAATAGTAAAAGAAAAAGATGAAAGTAGCTTTGTGTTGTTTCATTTACACCACAGCTACTGTACCTGGTAAACAGACCTTTCTCATCCAGTACTGCAATCACAGACAGTATACACCCTCTTATCCCAAAACAAATATTTTGAAAGGTGTTTTTCTACCTCAGTGATGAGAAGAGCTCGGCTGTATGACATTGATGAAGATGAATGGTCAGACTTTATTTGTGTTTTATTACAGTTCTCTGATCTGTCTGCTTTACATATCACCAGAGAATCAGATGTCCAAGATTCTGGAGCGCCTCACCTGTTCTCACACATTCGAATCAGAATTTACATTATAATCCTTAATTAGATACAAATCAATCAATCTTTTTATCACTACATCAACATTTATTATCTGAAGAGCTTTGTTTGTTTCAACAATTTTTTATCTTGCAAAATTATATTTATATATCTATAGCAAATTTAAAATGTCTTAACTCTTTGCTGCCTGTTGCATAAAGTAATTATCTCCTTTGTAACAAGAATCCAAATTATATTTCACATTTTTACCATTTTAATGTAAAATTCAAAGTTTGAAATCTTTTTCTAAACTTGTATGCCTCTACAGTAACAATTGACCACTGTAGGTGCAGGGAGAGAATATGCANGTCCTTGTAGGGTTTTCTTTCATTTTCATTTCTTCTTCTTAAGGATTCCTGTCCCACTGCACTGTGTTTATCCTTATATGCAGTAACCCCCCTTAACATCTGTTTGTATATATCTGTTGGGAAAGAGAACTTCCATTGACATCGTTGTGCAATCAGTTAGAGCAATATGGTATAACAATCTGAAGTCCAGGGTTCAAATCTCTGTCTCTAGCCTTGCTGACTTTTTTACAATCATAACATTGTTGTTGATTATATTTTGTTTATTTCATCTTTATCATTTCTCATGAAAGTGACGCAAGGTATGGTTTTCCTTTTAGAAATGATTTTTCAAAGCTACAGTCATGCCGGGAAACAGTTTCGACACTTAGCTATACAGTCGTGCCGGGAAACAGTTTCGACACTTACCTACAGTCATGCTGGGAAACAGTTTCGACACTTAGCTACAGTCATGCTGGGAAACAGTTTCGACACTTAGCTATACAGTCATGCCGAGAAACAGTTTCGACACTTAGCTATACAGTCGTGCTGGGAAACAGTTTCGACACTTAGTTATACAGTCATGCCGAGAAACAGTTTCGACACTTAGCTATACAGTCGTGCTGGGAAACAGTTTCGACACTTAGCTATACAGTCGTGCCGGGAAACAGTTTCGACACTTAGCTGCAGTCATGCTGGGAAACAGTTTCGACACTTAGCTACAGTCATGCCGGGAAACAGTTTCGACACTTAGCTATACAGTCATGCCAGGAAACAGTTTTGACACTTAGCTACAGTCATGCCGGGAAACAGTTTTGACACTTATCTACAGTCCTGCCGGGAAACAGTTTCGACACTTAGCTACAGTCATTCCGGGAAACAGTTTCGATACTTAGCTATACAGTCATGCCGGGAAACAGTTTCGACACTTAGCTACAGTTTTTGGCAGTGGTACGGAGATCCTTAAAGGACAGTGAAGAAACCAAGATTGATCTGCTGCCCCACTAACACACTTGGGATCTGTCTTTCCTTCTGTCACTTACTTCCCTGTTCATTTTGGTTGTGCCTCCCTAGGTCTTCATAACACCTGAGCTTATATGAGGATGTTGAAAGCCAAACAAATCCATCTAAGTTCATTTTTTTACTGTCAAATCACCAGCAGCAAAGAGTTTGACAATACTTTATATTTTGAAAAAAAAAATACCAGCTGAACAAAAAAGAATGAACTATATTACTATCGTGGACGTACATTACCTGTAGTTTGTTGTCAAGAAAATTAACTATCCATATACTTTAAAGTTTGTGTTGCTCTGTTTCAAATAATGATATCCGTCTATTCTAGAAAACCACCATCAATTTGGGCCTGTAGCTATATAGATAACAAAAGTTTTCTACCTGTACCTAAAGCACTGGCCATGTCGATAAAACACAGATATGCTATTTTTGACAAACAGATTCAGATAAAATGTACGGTTATTTTTGTCTACGCTACATGTGAAAACATCATCATTTACGTCTCAAGCTAGCTACCCACAGGAATATACGATAACTGTTTTTCACCTTTCAAAACATTTTTCTTATAAAGTGATATAAGTTAATGTTCACTCTTCTTGTCTTTATCAACTGAAATCTTATGGAGAAATGAGGCAGATTTGATGTATAAATGATGACCAATGTTTTTTATAGTCTGAAAGACACCCCAGGTCAAATTATCTTTGAAATCTGTTTCTACTATCATACTCCTGGGGACTAATATTATACCAGAATCACTTACCAGACAGACACCTAATGAAGCCGTAAACATTGCATAAGTTAAGGATCCTTGTACCACTGAAGATAAAACACTACAGACTTCCACTCTACTTTTTCTTACAAAGAGAGTAACCTCCCCTTAAGTAAATAATCTGAACCTCAGCCCCTGAACACAAAAAAAAACCTGAACACTAAATTAAATATGAAAAATCACATAACAACTCCAGTACTTAATACATTTTGATCATAACTAGTAAAACAATTTAATTATTAGAAATGGTCTACAACATAACCTCAAATATATTGCACATTTATGTATAGGCAATTCCTATGGGTTTTTTTACTGGAATTTTTTTTGTCTTAATTCAAGACACAAAATTAAACCAAATATTTTGGTAAGCAGATTTTTGAAAAGTTATGATGGGAATCCTACTTGGTTAAGTTTATAAAACAAGACCTTTGCAACTGCACTTCGTAATTAAACACCAGTCCTAAGCTATATATTTGAAGCTAGCCCTCATTAACAAACTTTGAAGAGGGTGATTCACATATTTGGCACTGCAACATGAACGTGAACAGTTTTTCGTGTTCAACAGTTTTTGGCTATAAAACAATCCTTACTTCACGTTTGTTTGTTTCTTTCACTATTGTGTAATTAAACCAATAATTAAAGTCAGTGTATTTTGTAATTAAACCAACAATTAAAGGCAGTGTGTTGTGTAATTAAACCAATAATTAAAGGCAGTGTGTTCCATTAAGGCTTATTTTATGTTTACCACAATGAATTTCAAACTATATTGATGTGGATATAGAGGCAGCAATGCCTGTGTCCACTAATATCCTATTAAATCCTATTAAATTACCATGGAAACGAACTCTGTATGACAAAAAAAGGTACATTGAGGCATGCCTATTTCATGCCTTTTTCATGCCTAAAATGTACCTTTGGCCCGAGGTACATTTTAGGCATGCCTAAAATGTACCTCTACTTCTGGGGTATTTTTAAAGTATACCTCAAATGTGCCCCGTTTGGACTCTAATTTTATCAATGTGCCTCAAATGTGCCCCATTTGGACTCTAATTTTAAAAATGTGCCTCAAATGTGCCCCATTTGGACTTAGGTCTCTTCCACATGCCTCAAATGTGCCCCATTTGGACTCTAATTTTATCAATGTGCCTCAAATGTGCTCCATTTGGACTTTGATTTTTTTAATGTTCTCCATTAGGTCTTATAGATTTCTTCCACATGCCTTAAATGTGCCCCATTTGAACTCTATTTTTATCAATGTGCCTCAAATGTGCCCCATTTGGACTCTGATTTTTCACATGTGCCACTTTTAGACTTTGATTATTTTTAACGTACCTCAAATGTGCCCCATTTGAACTTGTTCTCAATACTGCAAAATTGCCCATTTCAAATATGTTCTTTTCAGCTTCTTTTTTTCAGATTTGACATATACTTTTAATGATTTTTTTTTTATATATATAAAATTTACCATCAATATGTCTTTTTTGAATGCCATTTGCAAAAAAAAAAATTATATAAGAAGCTAAACGAATGAATAAATAAACTTGAATTCTGTGAATTTACATGGTCTAATTCAGAGACATGTAAAGCCACGTATCTGTCTTATATAAAACAGAAAATTCATAAAACACATTTCTGTTTCAGTCATTGTTGCATTTAACTTTCAGTCCCAACAGCTAGAAAGACATTATTGAAAGATTTCAACGACACATTAGAGTGACATATTTATTAAAATGTAAAACGAAAACAATTAAACTACACAATGGAAGTTTTAAAAAAAATCGGTCATGTCTTAGATGCTTCGAAATACTCTACAAACTGTTGAACTCTAAAGTAGTAACTACAAGCGTGTATTTATACCTTGTATTTTTATTTCTTGAACTGATGTTTGAAAACGTGTCGGAAAGATCGTAGGAATGTTAAAATCGTGTTTGGCTTCGTTGTGCAAGACTTCGTTTTTCTTTTCGACGTCGATGTATTTTCGTCGGCGAACAGCCAACATTAAGACGGCGCTTCAAACAATATACTAGTGTTATATTGTTGATGTGATACGGTACTCTTTTAATTTCCAAGTTAATTGCATTGTGCACGAGCCATTTATACCGAGTCCGCCGATGCCATGTGAAGCCATAACCCGGAAGTATATTTGAGAATAGAGAAAACGCGCGGATTCATTGCGTACGACACAACGTGCCTATAGGCCCTCTATCTGTCACTTAATATAGTAATTATATCATTCACAAATACGATAAAATGGGGAAAAGAAACGCGAAGACGTGAATAGTTCAATCGTCATTCCTCGTATGTAAACAACTATTTTCCCATGATGCAATTCCATTTAATTAGCCAATCACATCAAAGCGGGAAATTTGTTCAGCAGTTGATTCAACTTTGACCCACGACCTATATGCTGCGAATGTAAACAACCTGGTCGATCTCAAAACGCTTCAATTTTACGGTAGTATTTTCATGTTATGCTGGAGTTTACCGGTATCCAGTCTCTGAGAACAAGACATTGAATGGTGAAGTCAGAACAGAATGTGTTTTCTACACAAACGGCGACGAAATCAATTCATTTATCCAAGACCTCGCCGGCAAACATGGCGGCCATTACGTAAGTTTACATGTGAAAATTTCGTCAATGTAACTTTTAATTGTTTTGACAAAAATATAGATCAAATACTTCACCCAATTGGTCATGTTCATAAGAGATTATTCTTCATTGTTTTTCAGCTCATCGGTGACAACCGTGCTATAGCTTCTGCACTCCCGGGGCCGCGGCACCCACTTGGAAAATTTAAAAAGTTTTGAGGCAAGTTTTCAATGTTTTTGACTACACAAGGTCTCTATGAATCCGTTCGGAGTTTGGGGTGTGATACAATAACAGTTTAACGTTTTAAATGTTTGTATTGTTTTGAAAATTTCCGCGTGCTGATAATCGTCAAAACTTTTTTAAGTGATTTTATTTTAACGTTTTAGGGTAGTTCAACAATGAATGTGAAATAATGTTTCATTAAATGTTAAAATTACTTGTTTTCTTTCACATTTTGCTTTGGATTTTGGATTTTTCTCAATTGACTCCATCGAAATATTATTCCTTATATTTCAATGACATTTTTTTCTTCTTTTTATACACCAGTCAAACCCCTCTATATCTTCAAAATTGTAGTTTCAATTAATTGCAGATCATCACAAATTTTCTTCTGATATATTATTCCAATAATTACAGCAGACATGTACTTGCTTAGTTATTTTTATCATGTTACATCATAATCTAATTTTCATGCAATCTTTGCTTGTTATGTGCATACACATCCCTGTATACATACATTTAAATCTTCAAGATATTCTTTTTATCATATATTTTCAATATTTTATTTTATGATCATTATGGACTGTCTGTATCACTCAGAAAAAAAGGAAAGGAAAAAAAGTCTTCTTGAAATTTTAGCCTGATAAAAAATTAGTTAAAAAATATTTTATTAATATGATTGATTAGTCAGTAAGTTTTTCAAACTTATAGATGACTTCTCCAAATAGATCACGTGATGGCATGAAAGATGATATATTCATTAAGAAACAAACAAATTGCTGAAACATATCACAGTGAAATCGAGGATTCGGGGAAGAGGAGAGAGAAATGGGGGTGAGGGTATAAATAGAGAACAGAGATTTAATCAAATCTTCCTGACTTACCTAAATAAAATATAGTGTTGTTATATATGTCTATACACATTGAAAAATCTTAAAAGTTCAGACTGAAAGGATTTCCCAGAATACGGAGATTTCATCTAGGGTCTAGTAGAGTTCTTTTTTCTCTCCCTCCTTTAATTTCCCTGGCGCAACACGCCTCAGACGCTCGACCCCCTGTTATAGCATACAATCCAAAAATTGATTTACTTTGCCACAGTGTCATTTTTTGAGTAGTTATTTAATAACAAAGAAATTATTTTGTTTTGGTACCATATGGGAAATCTTGCTAACCTCTCTATTCATTATTGATATGAAATATTATCATTCTTTCACTTTCACTTAAGTCCCTCTTGATTGTTAATCGTAGGATGTAAATCAAACATAACATCTTGTACCGGATTCAGTGGTGTTGTTGCTCATCATTTCTACTTTCATTTGCTCTGTTAATCAAATAGTTTGATTATGTGAAACAGCAGGATATATACTTTTTTCTTGATTTTCTTTCACTTAGACCCTTCAGATGCTGAAGGACCTTCATTAAACCAACAGAAAGATATGGACGTCACAGATGGTAATTTTTCATTTAATTTTTGGTCACCAGCTCATGCAAAGGGGATGTGGTCGTACATATTTTAGCAATATTATCTTAGCACATACAAACTAAATTCTGGGTCTGCAGCTGAATACTTTCAATGTTATGAGCCCTGATCTTTTTTCTTTGCCTTTCTGAACATTATGGCCAATTACATTATCCTAGATTTAGGGTGTGTAGGCCTAGGCCTCTCATTGTTCCTACACATATTTACATCATCAGATGCAGTCAAAATACTTAACTGATACTTGCATTTGTAACAAAGAGGGGATAGCAATAACATAAACAAAGCGATGTTCCCTCCCTTCATTATAGAGTTATGTCCCCTCCTTTGACTTGTTCACACTATTCCTCTCAAAGTACTGCACCAATATACTTAATAAGCATTTCATTCTAACTGACGATTTGTGAATTATATATAAAGTCAACTCCCATATTTTGTTTAAAAAATAAATTCACTACTCCTTCCACATTACTTCACCAATTTAAGTGATACCTTTTATACAATACAGTATATAAATCGGGGGTCCTCTCCCAATTATAGAGTTATGTCCCTTTGTTTAAAAAACTGTTTGTATTACTCCCGAGGTACAATGAAAATGAGACTGGTATTCCGCCATATATATATTTAGGCATGGCCTTTATTTCAATTTTCATACCAAAATATATTTAAGTGCTGTTGATCTGATTGCTTCAATTTTAAACCTTGTTGTATATATATATATGCCCTATATATATATATATCTACATGTATGTATAATTACTTAATTTATTCAAACCTGACAAGCAATTCATAAACTATTACATTTTCCTTTACTTTGTTATTGAGTTAACTTGATCATTATTTTTTTTCAGTATAATCCCTCCTGAATTGCCAGAAGATTGTGACCCTATCCGCCACCATCAGAAGCTTAATGAGGACAGTTACAGTACTTGCTGACTTAAGTTGGGCATATATGTCTCATAATAAAGTTTCATAGTCTTTTATAAGTTATTTAATATATGATATGATATTGTACTTATATATATTTGCCCGATTATTTTTGACACATGCACATCATCACATGTTCATATTCAATTCTTTCTTCTTTACAAAAGTCCCAGAGACAACAAATGAAATGATTGAACTTCAATACTCCATCTAGTTTCGAATTTAAACATTATGTTTATTAAGCCCAAAAACCTCTTTTGATTTATGAACAGATGAAAAGGTATAACTGTAAGGGATTGTCCCATTTATATTATTTTATGATGTGTTTGTATATATATTATTCTATGAAGCAAATTTGAATAAATTTAAATTATCGAAAGTTTGTATCCCATTTAGTAATAGTTAACAAATTTTTAAATATTTTAATTTACATGCAAAAGACTTCATCAGTAATAATTATCTTCAAGTTACTTCATTACTTTTTAGATTATCACTTTGTCAGTGTGTATATCTGTCTATATTATATAGGTTCTAATTTATTTAACTTATGATTATTTGAATTTGTACTGTTTCAACTAGAAATCAGTAAATGTATCACAATAAAATATTGTTTGCAAAAATTTTGACTACCGGTTTTCTGAAAAAGTTAGCAGGGATAGTAGGAATTTAATCCCAGTAAGGATAGATATTTTTTAGGCATACCTTAAATGTACCTCGTATCAAGGCACATTTCAGGTATACCTCAGTCAGAGGTACGATTTAGGCACATATTAGGTATACCTCTGACTGAGGTATGATTTAGGCACATTTTAGGTATNGATTTAGGCACATTTTAGGTATACCTCAGTCAGAGGTACGATTTAGGCACATTTTAGGTATACGTACCTCAGTCAGAGGTATGATTTAGGCACATTTTAGGTATACCTCAGTCAGAGGTATAAAAAAGGCACATTCTAGGCATGCCTTAAATGTGCCTAAAATGAGCCTAAAATGTACCTATATTGAACAGGTTTTAACTACTATTCTGTCCTCTTTTTCTTCCTTACCCAAAATGTACCTAAGGCATGCCTTAGATATACCTAAAGCATGCCTTAGGTACCCCAAAAAGTGTACCTCAAATGTACCTTTTTTTCCCCTGGGTTAAGTGACATTAATGAAGCCTAATAATGAGAGATTATATTGTACCATATGCTTCTCTGATACATAAAACATTGTCGAAAAAACACACACACACAAAACAATATTTAAGGATCCTTATACCACTGTTGAAAATGTAACTATCCACATGTTTTTCCAGCATTACTAAAGCTTTGATAAATCGTTTCTGATTAGAAATTGATACCTTTTGGGACATTTTATGAAATAATAATAAAGATGAAATAAACAACAACAGTGTTCGGCGTATAAACATTATGCAGGGCTAGACCAGGACTTGTATTACAGAGTGTTATACATGTACTATCGCTCTAACCAACTGTCAGCTTCCTGGTCAACGCTCGAGTTATGGTCCAACTATGCTACAGTTATATCCAAAACAAATTAAGGGGAAGTCACTGTAAAATCCAGTGTAGTGGGATAGGGATCCTTAAGAATTATAGCGGGACAGCTGGGATCATCAAAAATTAATCATTGCATAAAATAATCCTAATAGTAAGTGATGGTAAAAAATGGTGCATTTGTTTTTACACATTTCAATTACTTCACTAGATGTATTATCAAGATGAACATTTTTATTTCATTACAAAATTTTCAAAATACATAGTTTAAAGCAGCTCATTTTCTGATTGAGTGTGATCTTATCTGGGCAAAAATCAGAGACATATGTGATGCGGTCTTCGTAATATTTTCAATTTGTGGGGTCGTTGAGGAGAACATTCTCAACACTCATCTACAATTTCCACTCCACAAAACGCTACATGGTAGATACTATAACAGCCTATTAAATGGAAAGCTTATGATTCTAAATCCATAAAATAAGCACTTTCCCTGTACAATGTCGAAATTACTCTTTAAAATTGGTGTAACAAAGTTGTTCCTGGATTTCATTTAGAATGTATCATCATCATTGGAGAGTTATCTCAATATTTATCAGGTTAAACGCCATTATGTTTTCATTTACACTTCATAAACACTTCAAGACATTTAAATAAAATATGTAGCATTACATGAAGTCATAGTTCCAATCCATCGAGTGTATTAGGCCAAACAAATATAGATTTGTGTTTCTGGGAACAGCTGAGAAAACAAAAGGCTATTTAGTTCATCTAGGTAAATGATTAACTATAACACTTATTTGTAAAATACATATATCCAATACCAAAGTAGTGCTTATGTCAGTCTGGTAAAATACTAGTCGCTTCCTAGCTATCAACTCATCTATGGAGAATTTCTCTTAAGTTCAATCAGTAGAGCGTCAGACGTGAAAACTAGAGGTACCGGTTCGACTCCTAGGGGAGGCAGTGAAAAATAATTTGACCTCCTTTACATTGGCAACCACATTGGACCCAGGCAATTTTGACAGAAATATTTTGCCTTGCTCTCACATGCATCAATGTTGCCCCTGAAAACACTTGGGACAAGTTATTTCCTTGAGTGGGAGAATGTGACCCTGGTAGATACTGTCTGGTTCCTACTGACTCGCTTAAGCTCATTCTGTAAAACGTAAGACTAGTAAATCAGAGGTCCCAGGTTGCACTCCCTGTGGAAGCATTATAAAAATAATTACCTCTGTTACAAAATTCATAGGGTATAGACACTGAAATTAAGGGCAGTGCTACTAGAAACATATTTGTAGGCCTTGTGACTTGTGACACTTACTGACAATGGTAACTTCCTAAAAATGAAATGTGATATGTCATTAAGGAATTGAAATTATCATGTATGACATCATCAATATCTGATGTCATCATATTTAAATTTATCAGTAATGTGACAAATGTTCAAAATCATTACTGCCATATCCAATAGCTTCTACAATGGCTTCAAATAAAATATATTTTTGCTATCTAAACTACTTACATTACAGTTTATTCAAAAAGTTTGAAGTCTTTAACATGTTTAACGTACACCTGTGATAACGAGTTTATGTTCTACCTGATGCTTAACAAGCACCTGGTACAACCAGTTAAAGCCCTACTTGGTGTCTCAAGCACCTGCAATTATGAGTTAAAAACTTACTTCATTTAACAAGCACCTGTGATGAGTGAGAATTGAAGCCTTACTTTATTTACCAAGCACCTGTGATGATGAAATAAATCCTTGCCTTATTTAACAAGCACCTGTGTTAACGATCTTATATAATACGGTATTGTGCGAGTTTCATTACCTACCTGAGACTTATACTAGGCGTGGCTATGTGTTCAGGAAGTCAGGAAATAAAATTAATATCTGGAGGAAATTCAATTACATCTACCTAAACATGCAAATGTTAAATTAAAATGGAAACTAAATTTATTAATTTGATTTCCTCTCTAAAACACAAGAAGCTAATGTCTATAAATACTTTATTATAGCACACGGATATTGACTGATTTTAATTACGAGTGTGTCGTTTGCATCAGGGAACACGCCAGCTTCTATTTTCAACACAAAAATAACCCTATTGCTCCACACTATATAATTTTGCTGACTTTTATGTTATAGAAGCTGGTTATTTTTACAAGGGCGAATCTTTTACCACCCATTACACTGTGCTCATTTGCAGTATGACTAGATATTTATGCAACACATGTTTGTCATTACAACAATATACCAATAAATACAGAATATCTAACAAAACTGTCTGTTTAAGTACATGCCTGCATCTGGCTGGGTCTAAGTGCCAATTTACCACCTATGAAAGCCAAAGTTAAGTTAAAATATCTATCATATTTCTTTTTCAAAGTGTAAGCAAACAGTGACAGTCTATTACACTCTACCTGGAAGAAATGTATCTTTATCATCAAATGAATTAATCAGGACAGAAACATATAATGCAATATAAAGCTACTTACATGAATTCTTCAAAAGTTAAAAATAACATCCTTGAAACATTTTAAAACAGAACAATTTAGCTATTCCCTCACTGCAAGAGAAACTGTAAATGGAGTAAGAATGACTGCCCCATTCACATGTACTGTGGTGCTCCTTTCAGGTAGGATAGGGATTAATTTTGAGTTCTCCATGGAAGGAAAAGTAATTATGCTAGCAATGAGGTGAGTAGCTGGCATCAATTTCAGCTCAACTGTCAACACAGACATTGAAACACTATGTAATGAAGCCCTGTACGAATGCTTCAGTATTGTGTGTAGTTGTCTGTGACTTGTATCTGTAATGGAGGGCTATTCCCCATTAAACTGAGCCATGTACAGCTCCTACGAAGACTTCACTGAAATCCCTCCACCTCTACTTCTATATATATAATAGGCAGAAGTTCAGAAGTCACCGAATGCATCTCTCCATATCCATTCTGTTGCTCTTTCTCCAAAAAATATGTTCACCTAATTTCTTCTTTTTTCTCTTCAAATTCGAATAAAAAACATGCATGATATGAGATATAATATTCTTGTCATTTTCTGACAATTTTTTTTTTCATCTCGCTCAAACACCTTAAAGCTCATTTGCTTCAATTACACTAATTTTGAAATCACATTGAATTCCATTAATCCCCTCAAACTCTGCTGAACAGCACATTAGTGGCTAGATAATATGGTTTGTGGGGTTACTCAGTATAGTCCCACCCTTGACCTCCGGTAAAGCGCTCAGATGACCCAGATCCTCTCAAAATCTACTTCGGTATACAACACTTATTCTTAAATTCATGTCAAAGAGTTGTCATTCTAACATACGTGTATGTGAAATTACTTTCATTATGAATAAAATACACTCAATTTTGTAGCATAATTGAAAAATAAATTCTGAGGAAAGCAGGTAATGATCTACTCTGCCCTGATAATATCCCAGTAGTTACGAACTATTCAAAAATATTCAATCATGTTGTTCCTCAGTAAATATTTAAGCCTACCTCCCAATCTGATTAAACTACGTGGGATAGGGTTGATCTTGAATTAGAAAGAATTTACACCTTTAAGGAAGGTTTCTCACAAATTATAAGGTCAACTGCCCTTTCATCTGAATCAAACTCACAAATTTTAATTAT